GACAAACCTTTTACTTTCAGTTCCAATCCAAGTCTTTGAAGACATCTTTCTGTAGTGAAAATTTTCTGCATGATTACTTTTTCCGTCCCATTGGAATGTCAGTAAATATTATTGCTTAGTACCGTAGCTAAATTTTGAGAACATCTTCTAGTGTAATGGGAAGTTTAGTGCCATGTGGCAATATTATTGCTTTTGTGATCCTGTTGTACTTGCTCAGAACGTACTTTAGTGCATGCATGTTTCTCTTAATCAGGGGTGGAGTTAGGATTTGACGTTCGTGGGGCCGAAAATTATTTAATACTATTACCGCAGAAGGGTGATAAAAAATTAAAAACTAAGTAAGACAATCAAAGTAAATTTTACTTTTATTAGTATTATGATTAATCATTTTAGATGATTAGAGTCAAAATATTGATGTAGAATAACTTATGAAAGGTCAAAATGGATAATTTTTCAGTGATATAAAATTGCAAAGTGGTAAAAAAACATAAACTTGAAATTAAATGAGTCAAGAAACAATATTGAAATAATGAAATAAGAAACCATAACATGAAACATCTAATTAAATGAGTCAAGAAATAATAAATTTAAAAGAGTAATTATGTAGATATATTAAAACAGAAAGCAAATAAAAAGTAACACAATTGCAGAGGTTGGGTATTATATCAAGAAATAATATTGAAATAATGACATAAGAAACCATAACATGAAACTTGAAAGAGTAATTATATCTAATTAAATGAGTCAAGAAATAATAAATTTAAAAGAGTAATTATGTAGATATATTAAAACAGAAAGCAAATAAAAAGTAACACAATTGCAGAGGTTGGGTATCAAACCCTCAACCAGCTCCATCATAACTCACTTCCTCCCCGCCTGACTAAGCCTACTTTGTTTTTTCAAATTAGCACACTAAACGTATTAGGTCTTTTCTTAGTTTTTACGAAAATTTCAAAATATCAATGTAGTTTAGACGTAACTTTCACGGTTCTGGGGTGGTGGGGGGGGGGGGGGGGGGTTGACGGGCCCCCCCGAGACCAACTATAGCTCTGCCCCTGCTCTTAATCATCTTGAACTTAGTGATTCCTTCAAAACCAATTGTTTCTAGCTGTTGTATCATTTCATCCGGTATTCTCTTAACAAGATCATATATTCTATCAGGGATGGCTCTTGTACGAATAAGAAATTGTACTTTCATAATTTGTTTTGCATTATGAGACCAGTTCATATAAATTCATATATATAATTTCATATTGATTCATATCACTATCATTTCTCATATCAACACATATAAATTCATAATCATTATCATTTCAATGTTATATCCGTTCATATAATTTTCATATCAACTCATATGAGTTCATATAAGTTCATGTCAAGATCATATAAGTCCATATTATTATCATATCAGTTCATATGGATCTTATTAGTTATACAACATTCATATCAATATAATGTTATTCCATATCAATAGCAAATAAGCTAAATATCAACTCATTTCAACATCATATCAGTGCATATCACCCCAATTCAATATCATATCAGAATCATATTAGTTCATATCAGGTTCATTATAAGTTCATTTCAATATCATATCAGTTCATATCAGGATCATCAAAGAGTACAAAACTTCAGATTATGAATTGCAACCTTCTTTTTTTTCTTCTTTTCTTGTTGGAGTTCCCTTGATTGCTCTGTTCTTTGTTTTTTCTCGTTGGAGTTCCCTTGACTGCTCCGCTTTTCCCCATGTTTTTGAAGGTGAAGTGATTTCGGACTTATTAGGGTTAGGCTTCTGTTGATCACTCAATGTTCTTTGCTGCTTGACTAATTTGTAGTAGGCGTACGATCAGAGATGCCGAGTTCGAATGCGCGTTGCTGAGAGGACGCAAGTGAATCAAAGATTGGTTGGAGGTGAATTCTTCTTGGATTTTGTTAGGAGATTCAGAGAGTTGGGTGAGATGTACAGTTTTGTGAGGGAGAGGATATCTCCCACTTTTCGGAAGGTTTTGATAGTTGTCTTCATAACGCACACCTTATGTATTAGAGAGATAGTTTAATTGGTAGTAAATGAGGGGGCTACCATGTATTTGAAATTTTTCGGAAGGTTTTGACAGTTGTCTTCATAACGCACACCTTATGTATTAGAGAGATAGTTTTATTGGTGGTAAATGAGGGGGCTAACCCCGGGAGGTCGAAATGATGTATTTGAAATTTTTCAGAAGGTTTTGACAGTTGTCTTCATAACGCACACCTTATGTATTAGAGGGCTTAATTGCAAGTTTGGTCACTCGAATTGCTTAAAAATTTTATGTTTGCCACTCAAATTGATTTATTCCATTTATAGTCACTCGAATTAGTTGAACAGTCCAAGTTTGGTCACTCTCCGTTGTCCTCCGTTAGACTCCGTTAGTGACGACCGTTAAGTGATGACGTGGCTAACAGAAAGACACCGTCAGCATATTTTAACATTAAAAAACGACGACCCGACCCGCCAGCTCAGCCTTACTCGCCCTGTCAGCCATTCTTGCCCAACCAGCGAACCAACCCAATTTTTTTTTATAATGGCGAACCAACCCAATTAATTGACCCTAAACCCAAACCCGAGACCCGCCGTGGTTGTTGGTCTCCGCGATGTCGGTGGTACTGAGTTCGTGGCCGGAATTTTGTCCAATGTATTGATTGGATCTAGCGAGACCAACAAGGTGAGTACTGAGTTCCTGAGAATTGACACCTGCTTCCATAGAAGCTCATACCTGTTGTACATGATTTTCATACACCTGCTTCCATAAAAGGAATAGAGCGTCTGAGAGATGAGGGCGATACCGTAGAAACCCAGGATCTCAAACAGATAATGATGGCAAATCACCAGCTCAAACATCCCACCCTTGGGGATCTTGTACTATTTCTTCTTGCCATCGTCGCCGGAGGATCTCAGCTTGGAGAGTAAGAAATGGTGATAGAAATTGCCAACAATCCCGATGAGAAAGAGAACCACCCCGTAGAGCCTCAAATCCATGGCTGGCTCTGGGAGCAGGGCCTCCTGCGTCAAAATCTGGGTGTAGATTGTGAGCGTTGTAACGCTGAAGTAGCTTACACTTATCGGAATTGCTGTCCCTGCGGCCATGGTGCCACTGTACTTGTGTACGAACAGTGTCTGCAATCAAGCAATTTCGACCACAAAACCATCAAAATTCCATTCGAAGAAAAGGGCTGGAGCTGGATTGAATTGGAACTGGGAGAAAGTACGTACCTCGAAAACCCTTTTGAAGAAATGTACGGCGAGGGCGGATTCGACCAGGAAGAGCCTAGAAGAGGAAGCTCCGTCACCGCCATGGTGGAGGAGGAGCAGGGAGGACAAGGCGGCGAGGAATGCCGGAGTGTAGGCCACAAGCATCCTGGTTCTGCTGGGGAGGGAGGACCAGGACGGTGACGGCGAGGTAGAAGCGGATGGTTGGGCGGCGAACTTGGAATACTTCATGTAGTTGCCTCGGAGCTCCGACAAGCCGGCGTTTCCCAGGGAGACTACACCCACCACCGACATCGCGGAGACCAACAACGACGGCGGCGGGTCTCAGGTTTGGGTTTAGGGTCAATTAATTGGGTTGGTTCGCGGGTTGGGCAAGAATGGCTGACAGGGCGGGTAAGGCCGAGCTGGCGGGTCGGGTCGTGGTTTTTTAATGTTAAAATATGTTGACTGTGTCTTTCTGTTAGCCACGTCATCACTTAACGGTCGTCACTAACGGAGTCTAACGGAGGTTAACGGAGAGTGACCAAACTTGGACTGTTCAACTAATTCGAGTGACTATAAATGGAATAAATCAATTTGAGTGGCAAACGTGAAATTTTTAAACAATTCGAGTGACCAAACTTGCAATTAAGCCGTATTAGAGAGATAGTTTAATTGGTGGTAAATGAGGGGGCTACCCCCAGAGGTTGAAATGATGTATTTGAAATGCCGAATCAGGCTCTGCTACCACTTGTCATAATCAGGCTGCTCATTAGTATGATATGTTCCCTTTGGGCCAAGCCAACACGATTTTACTTTTTGGGTGTCCTCCCCAAAAGGCCTCGTACTAATGAGCTTGGTGGACACTAATATACAAGGGTTCCTTCTCTTGTATTTCCGATGTGGTACTTGGATTGTCCCGTAACATTGAGCTTTCCATCCTATATATGTCAAGTGAAACTAGAGTTCTTTGGAGGTCTGTCCCTTCCGGAACTCCGTGTACCATGATTTCTCCTCGAACTTGATTTTGTAGCCAAAATTGGGCTTTAATCTCCTCTTGGGATGAATTACGGGTTAGGCGACTGTTGGCCCACCTAATCTAAATTAAAGCTGGTTCTGTGTTGATTAACTTGTTTTTAACCTCTTATCCTTCATGCAATTGGTCCTCTAGTCCAATCTAATATTTGTCGTTTACAATATTTTGCTTGAAAAATCACGTAAAACTATACAAAATACATAAAAACACGCATAAAATCTATCAAATGCCGATCCATTGGAACAATATGAAGTAAATCTAAGGTAAAAATCACTAAAAATATACTAAAAAGGATGTCAATTGTGTCTAGGATATAATAATAGTATAATTTACGTGGTTTCAAATGCTTTAAACTCCGCTTATCCTCACAAAGATAAAAACATTTACAATATAAACTGAGTTCACATTATTGGGGGTACTCTTTATCATGTTTGCATTTATCTATAAAAATATTGTTTGTTTACATGTACCAAAAAGTAGAGTTGCCTCGGGCACTAGTATAGTTGAAATGAAGCGACGGCTGATTCCCAAAATTAGTATACCGATCTCTACGATGTAGAAGATGGACACACAACAACAATTGCCCTTTCTTTCGTGACCACCAATGCCATATCCAAACGATACCCTTCTGAGCATATTTGTTAAAAATACACGGCTCAAAGAAAGAAACGTGCCCACATATCCCAACTCGTACGCCAACTGCTATATAAATGCATGTGGTACGAGCGAGCTACATATCGATATACGACGACGACGACGATGATGATATGCAGGGAGAGGAGAATGTTGGCAGTGGCTGTTGCTACGTGTAAAGTAGTGATAGTACTTGGAGCTCTGCTGCTGCAGATTGCTCAATCTCAATCACCGGTTGAGCGGTCGGACCACAAGTGCGGCCAATACCCCGACGGCACATGGGCTCAATGCGGCCCGGGACGATGTTGCAGTACCAAATTCTACTGCGGCGACAATTGGGAGCACTGTGACGGTATTTATTGTTGGTACCAGTGTCATAAGGTTCCTTATCCTCCGGCAGGAGGAGGAGTACTCATCGCACCTCTTCTACTTAACGATACGCTTCATAACCGCTATTTGAATGGTGATCATGATGATAATGATGATCTCGTGGAAGTGCGGCCCGCCAATGCTTCTTCTTCTTCTTCTTCTTCTTCTTTCTCGTCACCGTTATCGTGTGCAGCTTCTCTCTCCCGCTTGCCTCTAGCTTCTCGTCACAAGTATCCTTTTGCTGCTCTACCTGCTCCGCGGCCTCAAAACAATGCTACTGTTACTCACTGCGGACGTTGTTTGAAGGTAATTGGTAAAACTCCATCGTTATACCATTCTCTCGATAACATATCCATAAACTATCGTTTCTCCTTTACTACGTATGTGTTTTATGGACTAACGCAAATTCAAACTGAATTTTGTACATATATATAATACAGGTCACAAGTTTTGGAGTAAATGCATAATATAAGCTAGTCTACTATTTTCTTGCCATAGATATCATCAATATATATTAGTTAGAAATATTAACCGGCAGGTAACCAAAAAAATAAAAGCAGAGTTCCATACGAAAAAAACGCTAATCACTTGCTGAACGGAAAAAACGCTAATCACTTGCTCGATATAATTTTCCGGATCACTGTTCATCTTGGTGAATTTTTCCCTGTGGGAGGCCCATGGTATCTCCCGTAGTCCTTTCTGCAGCAAACCAAGTAATTAATATGCTAAAATCCATCCGCCCAAGAGCCGAAGAAATAGACGCTTCAATTTCACCCTGACCGTCAATTTCTTTCTACTGACAATTGAGATGGAAGCTCTTTTCTGATTTGGTAAATATTATATATTATTATATAGCAAAGAGTGGTATACTCCAGAGTATAGTATATTTGAGGTAATATAATCATTAGATATACTTTGATGAGTTTTGATCAATCTCAATGGTCATTTATTGTTTTCTATTAAATTGAACTTCGAGTTTGGGATAAAAAATCGACACCCAAGGGTTTATTCCTTACAGGTTAGGATATAGTATCATACTCTAACCTCGATTTGATTCATAAACTAGATATAAATATATCACTGTGATTACCTACAGTATAATATACTCCAAGAGTACACCAGTCCTATTCATAATTATATATAAAACACAAGTTAAAATTGTTCTTCTTTATTAAAAAATAGAGAGAGTATTTTTTTTTTTGTAGTGAGTACTGTTTACCGGATCTTTTATACTCTACATCAAATTTTACCAAACTCTTTTTTTCCCTATCCTTAATTGCTTGTTGACGGTGGATGTAGTAAATTCGAAAACAGTGATAGTGAGTAGTGATGTTGAGAAGAAGTGATAGACTATTGATGATGTACAAAGAGGTCTCAGTGATAATCTACAACTATTGACAAAGATGATGATAAATATGGTGAAGCAATATCAAAGAAGGTCATAAGAAAAATTACAGTAATTTATTCTTACAACATGAAAGTAAATAATGGTGTAGTTAGATAAAGATTTTTAAGAGTTAGTTACCTTCCGTGGAGTTTATTTTTTATTTTTCCTGTAAGATCTTACGTTGATGAACCGGTTAGCATATCAGAAGGCTCTATGATGTATATTCCTTTTTTATTTTTCAATTAATATAATAGTTCAAATTCTTTCACTTTTGACATTAATAAAAAATAATATCTGACTTTTTACAATTACAATTATTGTTGCTTATGTGTTTGAAATAATGCATCCAACCAACGCGGGTAGGATACTATTGTTGATTAACCGGTTAGCATATTAGAAAATAATACGATATATGTTCCTTTTTTTATTTTCTCACTAATTAAATAGTCTCGATCTTTTGATTTTTTATACCAATAAAAGTATATCTTGCTATGTACAATAACAATGGTTGCTTATGTGTTTGAAATAATGCATCCGCCAACGACCCGGGTTGAAATTATTATTATTAATAATAATAATAATAAAATAAATAAATAAATGCCTAGGTTTGAGTTACTATTCATTAGTGGCTCTCACACTCCTCCAATTGCAAGTGGGAAAGTCCTAAGTCATTCTTTTACCCCACTCTCCATTCAACAACCTTTGTGTTTATTTATTGTTCGCTAGGTTTTCATCTATGGTTTTTTGCGCAAATTATCGTCTTTGTGTTAATATATTAAAGCCTAGTTTTGAGTTACTTAATATTCATTAGTGGCTCTCACACTCCTCCAATTGCAAGTGGGGAAGTCCCAAGTCCTTCTTTTACCCCACTCTCTATTCAACAACCTTTGTGTTTATTTATTGTTCATTAGGTTTTCGTCTATGGCTTTTTGTACAAATTATCGTCTTTGTGTTTTGTTATTGTTCGTTAGGTTTTCGTATATGGATTTTTGCACAATCATCGCCTTTGTTCTCTAGGTTTTCATCTATAGCTTTTTGCACAAATCATCGCCTTTGCCCACCATTTTGCAACCCATCTCGAAATACTGTCGGCGGAATCCTAAGTTGTTCCCCACCAACGTTTCCCAAGGCCGCTACAACGATTTTTGTATCGGGACGTTTCATCCTCTTTAGTGTTTTTTCTTCTTTTCCCCCTTTTTGTTGAGCATGATCACAATTGAACCCAAACACATGAGTATTCTAACTTGAACACAAATCATCGCTTTTTCCCACCATTTTGCAGCCCATCTGGGAATACTATCGACGGAATCCTAAGTTGTACCCCATCATCGTTTCCCTAGGCTGCTATCACGAGTTTTGTATCTGGACCGAGTTTCATCCTCTTTAGTGTTTTGTTATTGTTCGCTAGGTTTTTCGTCTATGGTTTTTGCATAAATTATCGCATTTGTGTTTTGTTATTGTTCGTTAGGTTTTCGTATATGGCTTTTTGTACAATCATGGCCTTTGTTCGCTAGGTTTTCATCTATGGCTTTTTGCACAAATCATCGCCTTTGCCCACCATTTTGCAACCCATCTCAAAATATTATTGGCGGAATCCTAAGTTGTTCCCCACCACCGTTTCCCAAGCCCGCTACAACGATTTTTGTATTGGGACCGAGTTTCATCATCTTTAGTGTTTTTTCTTTCTTTTCCCCCTCTTTGTTGAGCATTATCACAATTGAACCCAAACACATGGGTATTCTAACTTGAACACAAATCATCGCCTTTTCCCACCATTTTGCAGCCCATCTCGGAATACTGTCGACGAAATCCTAAGTTGTACCCCATCATCGTTTCCCTAGGCCGCTACCACGAGTTTTGTATCTGGACCGAGTTTCATCCTCTTTAGTATTTTGTTATTGTTCGCTTGGTTTTTCGTCTATGGTTTTTGCATAAATTATCGCCTTTGTGTTTTGTTATTGTTCGTTAGGTTTTCATATATGGTTTTTTGCAAAATCATCGCCTTTGTTCGCTATGTTTTCATCTATGGCTTTTTGCACAAATCATTGCCTTTGCCAACCATTTTGCAACCCATATCAAAATATTGTCGACGAAATCCTAAGTTGTTCCCCACCACCGTTTCCCAAGCCTGCTTCAACGATTTTTGTATCGGGACCGAGTTTCATCCTCTTAAGTGTTTTTTCTTTCTTTTTTTCTCTTTTTGTTGAGCATGATCACAATTGAACCCAAACACATGTGTATCATAACTTGAACACAAATCATCGCCTTTGCCCACCATTTTGCAGCCCATCTCGAATTACTGTCGACGGAATCCTAAGTTGTTCCGCATCATCGTTTCCCTAGGCCGCTACCACGAGTTTTGTATCTGTACCGAGTTTCATCCTCTTTAGTGTTTTGTTATTGTTTGCTAGGTTTTCGTCTATGACTTTTTGCACAAATCATTGCATTTTCCCACCATTTTGCAGCATATCTAGAATAGTGTCGGCGGAATCCTAAGTTGTTCCACACCATCGTTTCCCAAGGCCGCTACCACGAGTTTTGTATATGGACCGAGTTTCATCCTCTTTAGTGTTTTTCTCTTTCTTTCCTAATTATTGAGCATGATCACAATTGAACCCAAATCCATGGGTATCCAACCTAATTCGATCCAGTCAAAGCAACTTTGAACTGACTTTAGCATTTATAAATTTCTTTTTTCTTCTTCTTTTGGTTGTGAAGACAATTGAACCCGAATCTAAGGGTTTGACGAGTGTTGTATTGTGAGCGAGCTTTATCCGCTTTTGTAGTTGGCAGGTTGGACCAAGTGTTAATTTGCCAAAAAATTGTTCAATGCGAGTTGAACACGTTGTCGTCCAGTTTTAGATCAAAAGCGAGTTTTGTACGCTTAAATTTTTTTAATTCTCATTTTCCTTTTCGTTGAGAATGGCAATTGACCTCTAATCCAGCGTTGATGTGTTTCGTATTGAGAGCGAGTTATATCTGATTTTATAATTGACATGTTGGGTAAATTGTGAATTTGTTAAAACTGGGTCGACCCGGTTAAAGCAAGTTGAACGTAGTGTTGAGAGTTTGGGGTCATGACGAGTTTTATCCGCTTTAGTTTTTTTTTAATGTTTTTCCTTTTGGCTGAAAATGACAATTGAGTTCAAACGCATGGGTATACATGACCTAATTCGACCCTACCAAAGCGACTTGAACCCGAGTTTCCAAGTTTTCGGCAGGAGCGAGTTTTATTTGTTTTTGTAATTGGCGTGTTGTGTCAGGTGTGAATTTGTCCAAAACTCGGTCAAAGCGAGTTGAACGTGGTGTTGACAAGTTTTGAGTCGATAGCGAGATTTAGCTTTAGGGTTTTTCATTTCGCTTTTTCCTTTTATTTGAGAAAGATAATTGAACCCAAATCCATGGGTATCTAACCTAATTTGACCTGATCAATGCGAGTTGAACCTCCTCAAACCTGCAATCGGTCCAAAATTTTCATAAAGGAGAACCACACTTACCTCAAACAAAAAAAAAAGTGTTCCAAATTGAAACATTAGCGTCATGAAAGAAGTTTAAAAATAAATAATCTATTCGACGACCCCTCTATCTTATGCAAGTTCATCGACCATATGCTATTGTAAACAACAAATCTATGAAAAGAATTATTAGCAATGAAATAAGATGACTTTCACTTTTAGGTCAACATTAAAATTATTACTTTTAAAAATATTTATCTTTATAATACGCGAAACGATAGCGAACGGGCTTTTACTAGTCTAGTACATACCCAAAATGGAGTTGCCTCGTGCACTAGTATAGTAGAACATAAACGACAAGGACCCGGCTGATTCCCAAAATCAGTTAGACGATCGATCTCTATGATGTATAAGATGGACGCACAAAAACAACAAATACCCGTCTTTCGTGACCACCAATGCCACATACAAACAATACCTTAGCAGATTTGTTAAAATTCACACACCTCGTAGAAAACGTACCCACATATCCCAACTCCACGGTGCTGCTGCATATAAATATTTACACAGAGATCTGTATCTCACTTTCTAAACATGGAGAGGACAATGTTGGCAGCCGTTGTGGGATAATTCCCTGAATACAGATAAAAGTAAAACAAATTTCTAAACTACCACACTTATAAAAAAATTTCCCAAAATACCTAAGTTTGGAGTGGTTCGAGTTCGAGGAACTCGAACTACTAACCGGTTCGAGTGTAGGAGACTCGATCTAGTCGTAGATCGATGATATAAGCCTCGAACCATGTGGGTGTTTGGTGGATCAAGTGGTGTGTGTTGAGGTACCTAGTATGAAGCCCAAAATACCATTATTTAGGCCCAACCTAAACCAATTTAATTAATATGGTTAAGTTGGCATTATAAATCACTATCAC